TCATTCTTTGAAATCTTCTGTTGGAAGTTTTCCAGTTGGGATTTCAAATCATGGATTTCTTCCTTCGTTTTATCAAAGTTATCTTTTGTTTCTTCATGATTTTTTTTGTGTCTTATTTATGTGAAGTAATTTCCTCCTGAATTAATTGTAATGTGGTTTGCATTTCATTCTGAAAGTTGTTGGTTTTTTTCTTGCTGTAACATTGCATCAATTGATCTCTGATACACAGGACTGGTGGTAGTAGAAGACAGAGCTGAGGATGATTTTTTGCTAGCTTTAGCTAAGTTGGAAACACTCATTTTTGTTCCCACCCTCTAAAGCTTTCTCAGTTCTAATATATACCCCTATTATCAGCTTTATATGTCCTTTAAGTTCATCTCTAATAAGTCTTATAGTCTTTATCTGTAGCCTCTTATAAGCCAATAAATTCTCCCACACAGGGGGAGGCAGGAAGGAAAAAACACCTTTCTAAACCACTTGTTTTTAAGTCTCAGCTTCAAACAATTGTCCAAGGGTCCAAAGTTATCACTCTGCCCAGATTTGTAATCCAAAAGGTCCTGAATATAGGGTTAATAATCCATAGAGGATTTGCTCCCTATTTATATAAGTAGCTGCTTGAGAGCCACAGAAGCATCCCCTGGCCTCAGATCCAGGTGGCAGCAGCCTGGAGAAGCCTCCGGCACCCAGGTCAGGCCGCCAGAGGGCTGTGGAAACGTTTCCTGGCTTTAGTTCCATTCTCTGTTGCACAGAACAGGTCTAAAATACCATGAAATCATGCAAGATCAGTAGCGTGAGATCTTGCCCCACTGATCTTGCGTGATCTTGCGTTACTTTAGGCATCCATTCTCTGTGAATGCCCCGAAGGCCTGGAGCAGCCAAAAAAGCGAAGGATCTCGATCTTTGCAAGGTGTGTATTGAAAGCCTGGTGCCTAGGGAGACCCAGAGCGGGTGTGAGTAGGGAGGGAATAACCAGGGTGAATGTTGCAGTGCCACTGCAGTCATTCATAAGCACGAATGACTGCTGTGGTTCTGCAATATTCATAATTTCAGGACTTGCTCATAAGCACTAGGGGGCACTTATCATGTAACTTCAAATGAGCATTAAGTGAATGCTTGTAACTTGGGGATTACCTGTACAAAACTCCCAAAAATTAAAGAATAGAGAAAAACAAACAAAAACACAAAAGACAAGATTAAAATTTTAGATCTCCCTGTTAACAAACTATTATAGTGAACAATTTGTAGAAAATTTTCCACAGCATCTTATCTATCCCATATCATTCCAAAAATTAACAGTAATTCATTCTGGATCAAATATCCATGTTTGTTTCTTAATACCATTTCTTATCAATTGTTCTCTGATTAAATATATAAATTCAATCTCCAAAGTCAGGCTCTCTTCCCAACAAAGTCCAGATAAAATTGCTTCCTGATTAAGTGTGATAAATTCATTCCCCCATCTTCTTCAGTCCTCATGGGGAAAGTCAATTTGCTTCTCCACTCAGTGTAATTTCTGCTGTTATAAAAGACTGCAGGCTTAAACTTCAAAGAGGTGTATGCCATCATCTCAGTTAATTCTAAGTCTATACAGTCCCAATTTATTTCCAGCAAATTAATTGGTTCCAAATCACATTCCTTTTGTGAATCTACAAGGGCAATTCGGAAATAAACCTCCATTTGGTTATCAATGATAAACACTCGCAGATAGAGAACTTCTATTATACACATTAGAAAACTACAACATTACATTACTTTTCAACATGGTCACCATTCAAACTGAGGCACTTGTCATAACCTTTTACAAGGTTTGAAATTCCTTAGTAGTAGTCACTTGGTGACAAATCTGAGCTATGGGAAGGTGATCAAAAACATCCCAACGGAACTGCTTCAAAAGTTCTTGGGTACATCTAGTGGTGTGCGGGCAAGCATTATCGTGAACCAACACCACATCGGAAGTGGTTCCCTAGAAAATCCCACCAAATGTGAAGATGCCAAAGGAGTACTGTTAGTGAAGTTCATGGGACATAGTTTGACCATCAATTCAGAAGTCTACTGTGAAACGTTATGAAAACTCAGACAAGCCAGCCATAACAAACATTGGGGCATGCTGACTTCTGGTGTGGTGTTGGTTCACAATAATGCTCACCCGCACACCCCTAGACACACCCAAGAACTTTGGAAGCAGTTCCATTGGGATGTTTTTGTTCAACTCCCTCCCATAGCCCAGATTTGGCACCAAGCAACTACTACTAAGGAATTTCAAATCTTGTAAGACGTTATAACAAGTGCCTCAGTTTAAATGGTGACCATGTTGAAAAGTAATGTAATGTAGTTTTCTAATGTGTATAATAAAAGTCCTGTATCTGCAAGTGTCTGTCATTGATAACCAAATGGAGATTTATTTCCGAATTGCACTCATAATTCCAAAATAACATGCCTCTGAATATTTTCCACAGTACCCCTTCACAGTTGGGTCTATAGCCATCCAAAAGTATTCTTGGGTCATCCCTAAGTGTTCCCTTTTAAGCCCAGGGAGCAGCATTGCCAGAGAACCAGCTCTGGCAGCAAAATCCAAAAATTGTCACTGGGAAAAAGAAAAATCCCTACAATTCAGCAGCCATCTTGGAGGGTGTCTCCCCACTGCATAATTATTCCTATGCAATCAACCTATAATAGTGGTCAGAGCACACAACAATGGTTAAAACAAGGCCCTTAGAGTATAATACAGGTAGTCCTCGATTTACAACAGTTCATTTAATGACTGTTCAAAGTTACAGTTCTCAATTTTTCCATGTTTGTCTTTCTATAACTTGAAGTTAAAATTCCCACCATTTCTCTTAAGCTAAGCCACAGCTTTTGTGTGAGTCCCCTACCCCCTGCAATTTTAGTTATTGGTTTGCAAACAAAGAGAGGGAATTACTTTTAAAAACCCTCCAAAATGCAGTATTTGGGAAAGCACTGACTTGCAAAAAATTGCTCTGTAGGAATCATAACCTGACATACTTACTATTTCTTTCTATAAATAGGAAGACAGTGACAAAAAAAAGGAAGTTAAAGTACATGTTTGGAACTGGAATGAGCTTTCAGAATCCTTGCTCAAAGGATATAGAAAAAGAAAAGCACTTGTTTGGCAAAATTCTCAGATGTTATAGGGATCAATATAATTCAAACAGCATATGCAAGTATTCAGATTCAAAACAGAAAAGGTCCTTTGATCCCAGCAACAGTGCATTTGCTGTATTTATCAACAAGCGCTGAATAAAAAACTTTTTAACATGTTGCTGACGGGTGTTGTGAGTGCACTCACATTATATCTGAAGCACCTTTTTTCCTTTGGATCCAAATATCACACATATTTAACAATTCTAAAGAACTTTGTCTACTCTGTTATTCTTCACATGTATACCAGATTGCCAATATAGACTGCAAATCAGTGAATCAGGTGAAATATACTAAAAGTGAACAGTTTTGTAACAGATTTCATAAATCTTGCAAAATGTGTGAGATGGGACTTTAAATTACAATACATCCAGCCTCAGCAGTTGGCCATTTAACTTGCCCTCACTCAAAAGCTTCCAGCAAGTAGGAATCCCCCACTTTTGAAGCAAAGTCTTCTATTTGAAACAGTTCTTGCCAATAGGAATTTCTTCCTGGTATTCAGCCTGAATATTTTAAAATAGCCGTCAAAATCTTTTTAAAAACACCATTTTATTTTGAAACAGTGAATTATTTTAATACTGAAGCTGGCCAGGAAAGGCTTAGTTTTTCAAAGGCTAATTCAAGGGCTAGCAGAGACCCAGCCCCTTTGAAATGTTAAAAGTGAATGAAATGACTATCTGATAGAGCCTTCTGGCACCTTTGTCTAGATGAGCAGCGCAGCAAGAGTAGAAGGGCATCATGGTCTATTATTCTCTGGATAATTATGTTTGAAAGCTTCTAGATGGAAAAACGGTAACTCTTTTCCTCCTTTTATGACTTGAGGAGATTTCAGTATTAAATTCGCCCTTTATTTTCTGTTACCTCTTCCTAGCCTGAGGTTTGTACAATTGTTCTTTAAGCAGATTGAACTTTGAAAGATATTTAGTAAGATGCTTATTTGTTATTTTTATTCTGACATTTATGTCATGTTGCATGGGATAATAGCAAATATTATTTTGTTTATGGGATTAAAGCTATGGGATAAGTAATGGATGCTGAAAAAATAAAACAGTTATCATTTACTGTTAATTGGAATGACATGAGGATCTATATAACATTTTTGAGTCCTTTGTAAAAACTTTTCATGACATTTAAGAGTAAAAACGTATATATTAGAGTAACACCTGAACTACCATTAAGAATATCCTTCCTAAGTTTTAAAAATAAGAATAAATATTGTTATATTATATTGTTTTTACAGAAGCGGGGTTTTTTTTAATAGAGAATAAAAGCAGGTTTATAACCTAAATTATCTTTACCTAATCTGGTGATTTCCATTAGTTAAAGTACAGTTCTCATTATATGCAGCCAGTATAGGTGGCAATGAGAGTTGCAACCCAAGACATCTGAAAGGTGCCAGGATGCACATTCATCCAAGGGTCCACTATCTCTAAAATGATTTCTTTGTATGTTTTTCTTTTTGCTTATTGTCAGTTTATTATATATATAATATATAATATTAATAGATAAATAGATATAATATGTATAAAGTATGTATGTATGTATGTATGTATGTATGTATGTATGTATGTATGTATGTATGCATTTCTAGAATTTCATCCTAAAATGGCAGGAAAATGTGGCACTGATGTTCAGCAATCCTTACAGATAAAATTTGACAGTGGAGTCAGAATGAATTATAGGTTGTGAGGAAAGAACTTTGCAATCCTTTGACTCTAGATTGCCCCCCATACATAAACACATATATCAATGTTTTATGTCTTTTTTTAACTTTTAATCACCACCACCCTTATCCCGCTCCCTAATAATACTTTATTCATGCCTTTTCTCTTGTTGCTTAGGTGGGCTCCTTTTTTATGATCAATCTGTGCCTAGTAGTCATTGCTACCCAATTTTCAGAGACCAAGCAACGAGAACACCAATTGATGCAAGAGCAGCGAGCAAGATACCTGTCCTCCAGCACTGTGGCCAGCTATATGGAACCGGGAGATTGTTACGAAGAGATCTTCCAGTATGTTTGCCACATTGTTCGTAAAGCTAAGCGTCGTACCCTTAGTTTCTACAACAGCCTGCAGGATCGTCGTCTCAGGCAAACAGAACCAGGCACTGCCAAACAGAGAGTGAATGGAAAAGATCGGAAGCAATATGGTAAGATTTATAAACTAAGCCTGCCAAATTAAGGGGCTGGGGTTGGGACTGTAAATGACTGTTAAGAACTTCACTGTAAATCAGACTACAGATAGTCCTTGGCTTATGACCGGTCATTTAGTGATTGTTCGAAGATATGATGATTCCCCCCACAAATACTTATGACCCAATTTGAAGTGCTGATGGCTGCTTGTCCCATAGTCACATGATACATTTTGGGCACTTGGCAACCAAGCCATATTTACAGCCATTTGCAGCATTCCATGATCATCTGATCACAATTTATGACTTTTTTTTCCTGGAACCCAGCATTTATTTCCAGATTCCAGCAAAAAACACCCATTCTGGACACTGCATTCATTTAATATTTCGGATTCACTTAATGACCATGGTGATTTGCCTAACAACTACTGCAACAAAAAGTCATAAAATTGAGTTGGTCACATGATGACTCACTTAAAGACTGGCAGGGCTGTAATTCCTGACTCAATTAAGGTCATAAGTCAAAAATTATGTATACAAAGTATGTCATCAGTTCAAAGTCAAAAGACAGTTCTTTTCCATTTTCTGCAGAATTTTTTAAAAATATTATAAATTTTCCATTTAAATTGTACAAGCCTCTTTATAAAAAATGCATTTGTACAGGTAATCCTCAACTTATGAGTGTAATGGAACCTGCCCATTACTGCTTGTAGAGTGAATCTCGTTCAAGGTATGAAATCACTCCCTTTCTCATTAAAACGCACACGGCTTATTAAGCAACCATGAGGTATCTCAGGGTGGGGAAGGCCATGGAGGGCCTAGTGCTGGAACAGGCCCCCAAGGCCTCCCTGACCCACTAAGATACCGCATGCTTCCCCCTCCCTTCCTGCCACAATGGACTCACCTGGAAAAGATCTGTCTCGTCTCTGCTACGGTTCCTGCTGCCGCCTGGATTTGAGGCCTGGACTTGAGGCCTTCTGTGCTTCCCGCATGGCCCAATCCAGGCTCTGGAGGGCTTTTCCAGGCCATTCCAGCCTGGATCTAAGGCTGGGGGAGGCTTTCGTGCCCCCCCCCGTGGCCCAATCCAGACTCCCGAGGCCTTTTCCAGGGAGCTGTGGCCTGGCTCTAAAGCTGGGGGAGGTTTTTTCACCCCCCGTGACCCAATCTGGGCTCTGGAGGCCTTTTCCAGGGCACTGCAGTCTGGATCTAAGACCAGGGGAGGATTTTCCAGCCCCCCCCGCAGCCTGATCCGGGCTTTGGAGGCCTTTTCCATGGTGCTGCAGTCCAGATCTAAGGCCAGGGGAGGCTTTCGCACCCCCTGTGGCTCGATCTGGACTCTGGAGTCCTTTTCCAGGGCACTGCGGCCTGGATCTAAGGCTGGGAGAGGATTTTGCAACCCCTCCGTGGCCCGATCTGGGTTCCAGAGGCCATTTCCAGTGTGCTGTGGCCCAAATCAAAGGCTGGGGGGGGCTTTTGCAACCCCCTGTGGCCCGATCTTGACTCCAGAGGCCTTTTCCAGGGTGCTGTAGCCCAGATCTAAGGCTGGGGGAGGCTTTCATGCCCTTCCATTGCCCGATCCGGGCTCTGGAGGCCTTTTCCAGTCCACTCCAGCCTGGATTTGAGGCTGGGGAAGGCTTCTGCGACCCTCCGTGGCCCGATCAGGTCTGGAAAAGGCCTCTGGAGCCCAGATTGGGCCGTGGGGGGGGCATGAAAGCCTCCCCTGTCCTCAGATCTGGGCTGCAGCAGCCTGGAAAATGCCTCCAGATCCCGGATCGGGCAATGAGGGAGCATGAAAGCCTCCCCCTGCAGATCCAGGCTGCAGCAGCCTGGAAAAGGCCTCCAGAGCCCAGATCGGTAAGGTGACCAACTTTTTTACAACAAAAAGGAGGACACAAATAAATTGAAGAAAAAATATCGTAAATAAAAGAAACATTGTATTTATTGCAACAATAATACAGAATACACTATAATATGATAAATGCATAATAAAAACCATTTGTAACAATAACATTTTATATTATAATTACGCTTACATGCCTATTAATTATTTAAATGAGTATTTTTCCATTGAATGAATATTTTTTGTCAATGTATCATCTTTTAACAATATATTGGAAATATCTGAACAAGAAATATCCTTCATATTGAATTTTACGGCAAGTGCTGCAGCTAGACTATCAACATTCAATCTCGATTTCTCACTTGTCCAAAAATCTACACGGCTGGATTGCGCAGGGGTGGGCAGCGGAGGCAGGTGTTGTGAGTCAGGCACTCCAGGACAGCCACGTAGGTGCGCAGGATGAGGTGGTGGCAGTGCAGGTCAGCACTGCGTAGACCACCACTGGTGCAGCCCATGGAAGGTCAACTGCCCGCCGCGCCCCCACCCATAGCTGCCCCACCAGCACCGCTGCCCTGCCATGGAGAGCCAGCCCCATGGCTTGCAAAGCACCAGCCGAGCCAGCTCCAGCCCTGCAACCATCCCCCAGCACCACCGCCCACCCTGCACATCCCCGTAGAGCCAGCCCCACAGCTTGCAAAGGCAAAGCACCAGCCATGCCAACTTCGGCCCTGCAGCTGCCCCCCCAGCCATCCCCCAGCACCACTGCCCACCCTGCGCATCCCCGTAGAGCCGGCCCCGCGGCTTGCAAAGGCAAAGCACCAGCCACGCCAGCTCCGGCCCTGCAGCTGCCCCCCAGCTGTCCCCCAGCACCACTGCCCACCCTGCGCATCCCCGTAGAGTCGGCCCTGCGGCTCGCAAAGGCAAAGCACCAGCTGCCCCGGCTCCGGCCCTGCAGCTACCCACCCAGCTGCCCCCCAGCACCACTGTCCACCCTGCGCATCCCCATAGAGCCAGCCCCGTGGCTCGCAAAGCACCAACCACGCCAGCTCCGGTCCTGCAGCCACCCCCAGCTGCCGCCCAGCACCACCACCTACCCGGTGCATCCCTGTGTAGAAGATCAAGAGAAACTTACCACTCCAGTTTCCTCCAGCTATCTGCGGAACTAAGTAGGAGATGGTGTAGTTGGGTAGCAGTGAGGGGTGCAAAATTCCTGCAACTTGCACGTGCAAAGTTTGCTGCCCGGGTGTTTTGGTGTGCTCAGCAGCAATTCCTATTGGCTTTCGAAAGCCAATAGAGGGAGTAGCAGAGGCAAAAGTTGAAAAAAACCATCAAAAAAGATCCCGGAACGCCTTCTGAGCGTTCTATGAGGGAAAAAAAGCCTTGCAGATAAGTTTTCAAAGATAGAAAAAGAGAACATTTAGGAGGACATTTTTGAGGGAGGACAGAACTCACAAAAGGAGGACTGTCCTCCCAAAAGTAGGACGGTATATGGAAAAGGAGGACATTTAGGAGGACACTTTTTGAGGGAGGACAGAACTCAAAAAAGGAGGACTGTCCTCCCAAAAGGAGGATGGTTGGTCACCTTAAGATCGGACCACGGGGGGAGGTCGCAAAAGCCTCCCCCAGCCTTAGATCCAGGCCACAACGCCCTGGAACAAGCCTCTGGATCCCTGATCCAGCCTCCAGAGACAGAAGCATCCCCTGGCTTCGTTTCTGTTCTCTGTTGTAGAGGACAGAGGCCTAAAGTGATCACATGAGATCAGTAGCATGAGATCTCACCCCATTGATCTCACGTGATCTTGAGTTACTTCAGGCCTCCACTCTCTGCGAATGCATCGAAGGCCTGGAGCAGCCAAGAAAGCAAAGGATCTCGATCTTCTCAGAGTGAGTATTGAAGGCCTGGTGCCTAGGGAGACCCAGAGGGGGGTGGGGAGGGAGATAATAACCAGGGTGAATGTTGCAGAGCCACTGCGGTCACTTGTAAGGGTGAATGACTGCTGTGGTGCTGCAAAATTCGTAACTGCAGGACTTGCTCGTAAGCACTAGGGGGCACTCATCATGTAACTTTGAATGAACATTAAATGAACAGTCGTAACTCGGGGATTGCCTGTATATCCAATTTCTATTAATTGGAAACATATGGAAAGTGTGAGCATTTTGAGCAGGGAACTGCATCCCATAATTCAAGGAAGGATAGCTGAATCCTGATTTGTATAATAGCCAAAAAAAATAAAACAGCATTATGTAACTAAAAATTATGTTCAACCCCTACTTAAAACAATTATACTTAGGTTAATGGAAGGAACTATATAGCAGCAGTCCCCAATCTTTCTGGCTCCATGGACTGGCAGTAGCAGCAGTGGGGGGGAGGTTTTCATATGCACAATGTAGTTCCCTTGCATGTGCAAATAGCAACAGCACTTAGACTTATATACCACTTCACAGTGCTCTACAGCCCTCTCTAAGCAGTTTACAGAGTCAGCATATTGCCCCCAACAATCTGGGTCCTCATTATATTGACCTCGGAAGGATAGAAGGCTGAGTCAACCTTGAGGTAATGACACTTGAGCTGCCAAACTGCTGGCAGCCAGTCAGCAGAAGTAGCCTGCGGTACTGTAGTCTAACCGCTGCTTGTGCGGCCCTGGGGGTTGGGGACCCCTGTTATATAGGATGAATAAAACATAGGAGTATATATTTAAGAATATACATGTTTACTTGGTATGTTATTGGATACAGTATGTACAATTCTTCATTTAGCAGCAGAGAATGATACAGAATATGAAGTGGGGAAACATAAATTAAACTGTGCAAATTACTAGCTTTTATGAAAAAGACAAGAGGCACCTATAGTAGAGATTACTCACCTTTTCAAGCATGATCTTGTTCAATGGCATGGGATACCAAAAAAAAAAAAAAAATTAATTGTAGAAATTTGACAAGACTCTGGGAACTCGCCACCAGGATCTTATGTGGTTTTGTGTGACAAAATCACATATTATTACAGTTGTTATTGTGAAGTAATCAGGTCCAAGTATTTTGCAATCTTTTCTCAATTCTAACATCATCTGGTTTAGTGCCATAAATGGATTATTATTATTATTTGTTCTAGCCAGTTGTCTCCAAAGAAGAGTGATGCGCTGCCTCTGAATTCTCGCAAGATCGCCTTAATAATCACTAAAGTCTCATGTGATCTAGTGGTCTTTTTCATGCAATGCATGTGGTTATCATTGAGCTATGACCTTTTTTTCAGACCCTACAAAACTATTTTAGTTGTAGCAAATCAGCATAAGTGACTTTGCCAGTGTTACATTTTTTAAAAAAAAAAATCATATGCTTGTCAAGTCAGATATGCCTTTCTAGTTCTGCTCCATTTGCCAAGATAAGCTTTTTTGGATGATTTGACATATTATGTAGTAGCAAAGTCAGACTTACCATATTTTATATGCACGGTATATAATATTTGAAATATTTTTGTTATGAGATCAATAAGGCTCCCTAGTTTTTAAAGAAACAAGCTTTTAATTTTTTTAAAACCTCCAATATATTGCATATAGATCATGACCCTTATTTAATGATTCTTGCAGTCTAGAGAATTATTCCATCCATGCTACATAGCTGAAGACAATTGAGTGCAATCTGTTGTGGCTGAAGTAGAGCGTATCTCTTAGAAACAAGCAATCTCCATTTAAAGTCTCTGATGAGATGTTTAACTCTAGCAATTCCAGTACTTCATTTTCTTCTCCATTAAAATGGCCAACAACCCATTTGCTTTGCATAATTAAATATTGAGATGCAGAACTGTATTATGAAAAGCCTTACATTTAATCTCTTCATGTATTATTAACCAGCACGTTGCCGGAAACATTCTTCTATTGATTACATGCCTCAAGGACTTGGTCAGCCTACTACCAAGACATTGGTCTCTGAACCCAGCAACTGCCCCAAATGTTACAAGGCCCAACAGGAAGCAACCCAAAGACTTTCTGTGCTTGATAGTGTCAATTCAGATAAGGAAGATGGAGAAAAAGCCTGTGACCAAGAGGGAGATGGAAGGAAAGGAGTCATGGAAAAAGATTTGGAAAAAGAAGAGGATGATGGAGAAGAGAAGGGACAACTCATGCTTTGCAATGATATGTGGCAAGAAGTTAGAGTCAAACTGAGGGGAATTGTGGAAAGCAAATACTTCAATCGTGGAATCATGATTGCAATCCTCGTAAACACCATCAGCATGGGCATTGAACATCATGAACAGGTAAGGTATTGATGGGCACCTGAAACAAAAAAATTAATTCAGTATCCTGGGATAAAATTGTAAAGTTTCAAAAAGATGGATAATTATCATGTTACAACCCCTAGGATATCTGTTGTGGACAGCAACATGACATTACCCATATTCATTTAGTTATCTAGGGAATTTGGCAACTTATGGGATTTGTGAGTATATATGACCACTGAACCACCAATACATTCAAGTAGCAGCAATTTAATGCTTAGTTGAAAAAAACTTAATAAGGTGAAATAAGGCTTTACACCACCAAAAGTGCAATCACTGAATGAAGACTTTGTGGGATATAAATCTTACTGGAGGGTGGGTATACTGAAGCCAGAATCTTAGAACTAAGCTTATTTGACTTGAAAATGGGACAAATGAATGAGACAGATATTAAAAAGCTCTGTTAGCTAATAGATCCAGAAACTACATATATTAGGACCAACCAAATGCCAGAACTACATTCAAACTTTTAAGCATCCAGATTTCATCTTTAAATCTTTAATCTGAATGTTAAATAAAATTGATAGAATATGAAAAAATAAAAATATAGGTATTGAAAGTTTGTAGTATGTAAACATTTTGAGAAAGAGAAGCACGAAAAGTTGTACAAATTAAATTAGAGCAGTCTATGTTAAATTCAGACTTCATTGGCACCAAAGACTGGTGGAACCAAATGGGAGTAGTAGCTCATTTCATTTCATTTAACAAAAAATGAAATCTATTTGTTCTGCAGTTTTCTGTACCCATTCTGGAAAATATTTAGTGACATTTTGCATACATGGATGCTAATGAATGCATTGTCCTATTGTAGTTTTTAGATAAAAGCTGGACATTGTTTTTTTTAAATTATCAGGACTCAGCTATGTGAATGTGTTCACTTCTAAGCAAATGTAGCTTTGTTTTTAAAAAAATGAAAATAAAAATGAGAGGATGTCCTGAACTGAACTTACTCTTCTCTACTTCTAACTAGATAGATACTAATGTTCTGTGATTTTCTTTTGGTTTTCTTTATTTTTTTGTCTTTCTGTATTTGGCCTTCACATCAAATATATATCTTCTTTTTATCCATCTCAACTGCCCATTCCTTTCCTGCCTATTCTTGTCTTTGCCACCTCCTCCTCCCATCTCTTCCTCTCTTTCCATGTCAATTCTCCTTCATTAGCTAACTGAAATTCTTAGTCTATTTGGTTTACTCTAATATGCTCTCTGGGGATAGCACAGGCACTTCGCCCTCTGCTCAAAGCAAATCTATCAGCTTGCCACTATTTCCAGCTTAATTAAGAGACAGAGAAGCACAGCCTGTCTGAACAGTGTAGAAAAGAATCAAGTGAATTGAGCTCTAGAAAGCTTTTTGCCTTTCCAAGTCACAGAGTGGTCAAGAACCACCATTCCTATGTGTTTTTATCTGATGAAGACTAGATTAATGTCAGAAAGAAGTGGTTGTATTCTCCCATCCATAAATGTGACTCTCTCCACTGTCCAAGCCCTAGCATTTAATGATTGGTACCATTTCACTGTCACTTGAGTGGGCTGTAAGTCATTTATGCCAAACCTCAAATGTTTGTACTGACAGTCTAAAGCTCAGGAGGCGTAGCTGACTGCAGTGGGGACAGGGGAGCAAGCCGTTTTCAAGGCAAATCTGTGAGGCTCAAAAATCTGAATTAGAATCTTTATAATTCTAGCCAGGATGTTTTTCTGAAGAGGAGCTTGACAGCCCTTGTTCTTGCAAAGGTTATTTTAAAAGTGGGAACAATGCACTAAGAGATTGTAAATGCACAAATGATGACTGTACTTATTATCCGTAAAGTGGTTCAGCGCTGGATGCCATACAATAATTTCATTAAAACAAACAAGCAAGTAAACACTGCCTGCAGGCTTGGAATCTAAATAGAGGCAGTTCTGAGAAAATGCACTAATCCAATTTTTAAAGGGTTTTTACTTCAATTTTCCCCCAAGAATTGTTTCATTTTTTTTCACATCATATAAGAAGAGCCTTAGTTTGGCCTCATGTAAATTGATGGGCACATTTCAATGTTAAATGTTAATCATCAGCAGTTAATTCTTGCAGGTTAGTTCTGTTCCCCCGCATAATATATTTCCAGTTATTGCATCCTAATATACTGTAGGTGGTCTGTGGAAAGCTTATTCTCTGACTACTTTTAAAACAAATTATGCATTCTGATCCTATGCAACATATTTATCTAGGGATTGTGGACATTATAATCTAATATATTTGGAAGGCAACAAGTTAGGAAAGGTTGAGTGACATAATTTTGCACATAGTAATACTATTCCAGCCCCATCAAAAACATCTCCCGAGATGCTCCCTTTTTCGATCTGATGTCCTCTAAATTAATTGGATTGCAGCATATCTGCAGGACATCAGGTTGAAAAAGAGTGCCTTTCGTGATATTTCAATACATCAATAAATGGGGCCAATGATAATACTCTTTTTTTTTTAATGTGTGTGAGCAGCATGGTGGCTAAGTAGTGAAGACGCTTGTTTCCAACTCAGGAGGTTGAGAGTTCAATCCTGGGTAGCGGCACATGTTTCTTTCCTAGGACTCAAAGAAAAAATCTGTGCTATGAACTCCTTCTAGGTGTCAGAAGGGCATCTGGCCAGTAAACGCTCAACTCCATCCAGTCGCCTTCACTCTACCCCAAATTAAGGGGTAGGTCATAAAAGGGGAGGGTTTTTTTAAATGATAATATTGTATGTATGAATTCTGCTATTGGTTGAGTCTAATTCTACTCTACTCAAGGCCTTGGTTCCTCAACTGATATGTGTGCTTGCTTCAGTGCTGATATTCTTTTGATCATGATTTAGATTTCTTTTAAGAAATTTTAAGTTTATCTAATGGGACCTTTGTTTGATAACTTATTTAAAAACCTATATACCGTTGGTGCTCATTGAAAAAATATACCAAAGATGTGGGAAGTAGCTCTGTGATGGTATTCATTCATTCATTCATTCAATTTCCTTAGCCTCCCTTATCAGTCAGTGACTCTAGACAGTTTACAATTCAAACAATTAAAATACTAAAACTGCTTTCTAAAACAATAAATCAATAGAATAGTATAATTTTAAACCAGCATATCTAAAACAATTTAACTTGCTGATTGGATCTTTTGCATTTAAACTTCTCAGTGCTTGTTATAACTGTGAGTGGGGAGGAGATTCAGTTCCAAAAGCAGCAGGGGCCTTCTGATTGGATCTTTTGCATTTAAACTTCTCAGTGCTTGCTATAACTGTGAGTGGGGAGGGGATTCAGCTTCAAAAGCAGCCGGGGCCTTGCTGATTGGATCTTTTGCATTTAAACTTCTCAGTGCTTGCTATAACTGCGCGGGAATTATATAACCCAAAATCAAACAGCAGCAGTACATTCAGAGCAAGTGCGTCTCTGATTCCTTGTATCTAAGAATGTCAGGCATAGTTCAGTGCAACACTTGTTTTGCAGCTGTCTTTCGCAGTACCCTTTTCAATCATGGAAACTGTCCTATCTATAAACAAATCACTAGTCTACAAGGACATATTACCTGTCTAGGGTCTGTAATCGCTGCTCTTCAGGCAGAAATTAGGTGTCCAGTTCAGCCCTTCTACTCCACTGAGCCTCCAAGCTATCAGCCCCCTCTACCACAAAGATCCTGCAGGAGAAGGGCAGTGTGGAGAACCGTGGAATCTGGCAGGGTGAGAGCTGTGAACCATAAACACAAAGCTTTTTCTGTGTCCCTGCACAACAGATACAGTGCCCTTGCTGACCTTAATAGGGACCTTAAGGAGACAGGTAAAGGTATTTGTGATGACAACTCAAACAAGCAGGGGATCTTGGTCCGAGATGAAGAACTTGTTTTTGACAGGGAGAAGTGCAAATCAGGTATTACACATCAGTCATGCAAGAACAGAAAGGCACCCAAAAAGAGAAGCCACCTTCTGGTTGGTGATTCAATTATAAGGGATGTAAATTTAGGAAAGTACACAGAGGTTTTCAATGAGGTCAGGTGTCTTCCAGGTGCTACTGCCAGTAGGGACAAGAAACGTATTTGTAAAATATTCAAGAATGCCAGCAAGGACTGTGATGTGGAGGCTATTATACATCTTGGCACTAACGATCTGTCCCAAAAAGATGTATTCACTGTGCAGAATGACTTCCAGAGCCTGGGGCAGGAACTTAGCAGAATAGGCTGTAGGCTTATTTTTTCAGAGGTCTTACCAGTGTGTAAGGACCAAAATGGAAAAGGCCAGTGTGTAGCACAATTCAATATGTGGCTAAAGGAGTGGTGTAAAGGAGAAGGTTTTGGATATATTAGTCACGATGTCAGTAGCTGGTCTCAGGAAAAAATGTACAAAAGAGATGGTTTGCATCCATCAAAGAAAGGGACAGAGTTACTTGGCTATAAATTCACAGATTTTCTGGAGGAATGTTTAAACTAAACAGTGGGAACAGTGAGCTAACTGATATAGAACATCCCTGTCCCCGGCAATCTAAAAACAATAGGGCTATCAGTGCATGTAACATAGATATGTGTGTGGACAAAAATACCAACCTTGCTGTCAAGCAAAATCAAGCTCTTAATAGCGAGTGCCATACAAAGTGCACTAACCAAATAGGTGGTAAGACATTAGGGGAACTCAGGCACCACACAGGTTATGTAAGAAGTAAATACAGGGTCGGTCATAAAGGACTCAAAAGTCTATACACAAATGCACAGAGTATGAACAGCAAACAGGGTGAACTGGAAATACGGGTTAATGAGGGCAGATATGATATTGTTGCCATAACGGAAACATTGTGGGACGAACCCCACAAATGGAACACACAGGGATTTAAATTATTTAAAAGAAACAGACCAAATAAAAGAGGAGGTGGAGTTGCTCTCTATATAAGAAATAACTACATCTCTACAGAAATAGAGCACAACAATGATGAAAACTGTCCTGAATGCATATGGGTCAATATAAAAGGGGGGGAAACAACATC